CTGAAGAAGGCGATACTGCCGAAACGTCAGCTAGCGTTGTATTGTATTGTGTTTTCTTTATGGAAGTAAATGTATGCTGTTTTAAAAACCTCGCGATTGCTGAGCAAAATAACTTTATATTTGAAAAACCGACTTTCCCTTAACCTCGATTAGACTAATCAATATGTATTCTTTCACTGATAAACCAACACGAGGTAAATAAAAAAGGTTCATTGGACTAATATTTCGGCGTCTTCGTCTTCCTCAGAGATAAACCTCGTGGGGACGATCGACTAGGTTCATCGTCTCTGATGAAGACGAACACGACGAAACGTTAACCGAATAAACCTTTTCTTACCAATCTTATGTTAGGTCATGAATAAAAGAACACATACAAATCACTCTATTGTCGCCATTCATAATAGAACGGCATTGAACACTCCTCCATCGTCAGGATTACTTTACTCAAAATGCAGCTGTCATTATCTGTAGAGCCCTTAGCGAAAGATATTGTAGAGCTATGTTTTTCCGGGTTTTGCACCCTTTATCAAAAATACGTTCGTTCGTGATTATTCAAGTGTTCCACTCAACAAATATGGTGCGATCGACACCAATCGGTCCACCTATCGTCCGATAAGGACCGTTGCTGTGCAACTTCACGTGAAAACTATTCTTCCAACACTTCTAGCGACTGCTATAAAGTGTCTCCGGATCACTGCGATACTGTTAAGTACGTCATGGTCTCGGCTACTTCTTCAGGACCGATGAGCGGCATCGTAGCCGTCATTGGATGCGGCCTCATGGGTAGCGGCATAGCGCAGGCTAGTTCTAAAAAATTCTGTCGAAACTTAGTGATTTGCCGAGACCTGTTATAAGGATTTAGCTAACTTCTACGATGTTTTGAAAGAAAGTTTAGCACATTGATATTTTCTCCAACTATTCGTTAATCTTCATCCTTTCACATTTTTCTATTTACTGTTGATGAGAAATTCTTTGGAAAAGTTATTATAATACTTTCTCTACAATACGTTTCAGTTCATTGCAAAAATGAATATAATAATTTTAATCACTAGTGGTTAATTTTCTTTAGCTTCCTAATAATCAATAGACACACCTTCCTTCTACATTATACATAATATTCAGTGTAGTTAGGGGGCACGCGTGGCGCAGGGGTCGGAGGCGCCATGCACGTGGGATCGATTCCCGCGCACATGGTCCAACAAGCCTTCAACCTCTCCGGGTTCGGTAAATTGTTACCAGACTTGTATGGAAGAATAGCAGCACTGACCCTATCTATCCGTAGGCTACCGCGAATCATTGTAAAGGCCAGATATGCATTTAATCACCTCCAAACGAGGCTTAATGAAATCGAATGCATGGCACATCCCTAAGAGATAGACCAACGACGAGAGCTTTGTCATTTATCCTCTATTCAGTGTAGTTAATCAATATTGTCTAGTAAACCAATCTTTTAAAATCGATAATGCATTCATTTCGTTCGTATTTGATCCAAGAATGGGCTACGAAAAAGTTGAAATTTTAGATAGGTAAAAAAAGACAAAAGAATTATTATGGAAAGGATGAAGTCGAATTAACTGTAGCAAATAATCAAATGACTGTGAGAAAAAGAAACGTTTTGGAAATGTTTAGCCTTCTACCGGCAAAATCTGTGAGTTTCTAGGTATGCCTTGCATCCGGCTACATTGTCACCATCTATGGACGACATGAAGAGAAACGAATAAAAGCAATGGAAAAGATTCGGCAAGGTCTTGTAAAAAATGCAAGTAAAAAACGAGACGACACGATTTCAGAAACGGTATATAAAACCTTTTCGATTTATTACACTAAGAAATGTATAAGTGTTGTACGAAGAGATAAAACTTTATGATCAAAATTTTGTTCAGAGGCTTTTTTAACGACATCTATTAATAACAGTCTTTGAACTTTTGTCTTCAACTATTTGGGCAGATTGGCTGGGTTTTTCCGCATTAGGATTAGATTCAGTTGCATTTATCAGTGGAAGACTGCAGTTACATTAAGCTGACATTGAACGAGGGATGAACCACTTCACCTAGTCCAATATAGGAGTAAGAAACTTGTTAACAACAGAGATCTTTTGTCGATAAGTTTTGTTCAATTGTTTGTTTTTAGAAGCATTAATGATAATGGTTAAGGCCACTGACAGCATTACAACGACAGTTGATGCCCAAATAGCTAATCTACGGCTCTGTTCCGATATCCGTAGCGCTGTCATCAATGCGGATTATATAATAGAAGCTGTTGTGGAGAATAAGGATGTGAAAGAAACGATATTCGCTGAAGTACAAAATCATTGTCGACCGTGAGTACTCAGGTTATACCGTAATACATAGTTTCTTAACTCGGACACTACTCGTAATACATGATTTTTTAATGCTTTAGAAAATAGCACTTCCCAGAGTCGACTTAACTTCGGCATTGACAAAAGTAAGGGAGAGTTCTCCTTAAACAACAGTTCAACAAACATATCGTCCTGCTTTTTTTTCGTACAGAGGATTGCAGAATATCACTTGCTTTTAGTTCTGCGTTGAAGAACCTACTCTTCAGATTCTTTCACTATACTAGGTACTTAGAGGAACGCTATTAGAGTAAAGCTCTAGTTAACTCTTAATAGTACTACTGTTCAACGGTGTTCAATATTCTGTGACTATTTTTTATCGTCCAACAGTGGTTTTTTAAAGGCGTTCTCGGCTTCCTTATACTCCTGTAAATTTATTAAAATAAGTAGAACTAAGGTTTTAATACGATATGTGGACTGCGACTTGTCATCTACATCTACAAACGCAATACAGTGTCCCTTGACCAGTTTTCTTAAGAGTTGGCATTCCTTAATGTTTGATCAATAAGTATTCTTCATCTTGATCGGTTTAGTAAGAATACTTATTTTTATGAAGTGTCCTCACTTCTATGATGATGATCTCTCAGACTGCCAGTGTGCATCCATTGTGTTCAGCTCAGCATTTCCTATTCATCTAATGTCCATCTTTAGGCTTTGCTCAATGAACCCCGCCGTCTTAATTTACAACTATTCTACTCCAATTTTTTCAATCGTTTTTTGAGAGGGGGATTTGATCAATTATAACTTACAGTGATGCTCTGCTAATTACCAACACCTCATCAATTCGTCTTGTCGATCTCTTGCCGTCAATACATGATCACAGCCGTTTTGCTGGTCTACATTTCTTTAATCCCGTGCCGGTTATGAAACTCGTAGAAGTTGTCTCAACGCCTGAAAGTTCACCAGAAACACACTCAAGGCTACTAGAATTTTGTAAATCGCTCGGAAAACAACCAGTGTCTTGCAAGGTTTGGTCGTCGTTTGTTGCGTACAACTTTATGGAAAGAAGATAAAGTTCATAAAATCGTTTCGACTGAGCGTTAAAATTAAGCGTCATTACTAGGAGATTTTATATTATGAACACTGAAATGATCTGTGGTATTTCGCTTTTCAGGATACTCCAGGATTTATCGTTAACCGCTTACTGGTACCATATCTTCTTGATAGTATTCGAATGCTTGAGAGAAAAGACGCTACTAAAGAAGATATCGACACAGGTCATCAATATCTTTCAATCTTCCCTTATGGTTTAATGATCTGAATAAACTGAGTTCATTCTTCAATTCTACAGAATCAATTATTGGTTGTCTACTTTTAATTGCTAGGAGTTTCCGTTTAGTAGAGATCAAAGAAGTCGCGATGGCAGTACGATGATAATTTTAATTAAAAGTATGACAATTTAGCATTATGTTACGGTACATCATGTCCGATGGGTCCATTAGCACTTTGCGATTATGTGGGACTTGACACGATTCACAACGTTATGTCCGGTTAGTACCTAAGTTCTATAACTAGTTAAAAGTCTAAAAAATCTTCCTATTCTATTGATTTTTTACATTACTATAGATTTTCTTCACTATACTAATAAAGTTTCTGTAGTGTGGCGTGAATCAATGCCAAACGATCCGCGTTTTTCGCGCATTCCACTCCTGGAGCAACTCGTCTCTGAGGGAAAACTTGGACGAAAAACCAAGCAAGGTTTCTACACATATTGATTTCGCTCAGTAATGTATTGCTGTGTAAATAGTATTTTCTGGTGTTTTTAAAAGCTTTAGTGACGAATTATTGGTGATCTGATTTCAAGAAGCCATATAAATACCAGAACAGGAGTTTAACAGATGAATTTTGCCAGACGAATAAAGGATTAAAGGTCGAATAAAGGAAAACTGTTCACCGTTCATCAATCCCTTAGAGATCCATCACTCACGCGTTGGAGCTCATTCGTAACATTGAAGAAGTGATTCAATGCATATGTGGCGTATGATAACTTCCGATGACATACCGTTCTACAGAGTCCACGTTTTTAACCTCCTAGACAATTCTGATACTGACTTGAGGACCACATGGAGATGAGGGCATCGTTAGCTCAATACATGGGGTCAAACCATTCAGAAAGCGTGTATTGCAGAGAATCTTTCACCATTATGCTATACTCTTTTTTTCAATGCACTTACAGAATGATTTTAAAGTAGTTTCTAGTTTTGATGAACAGTTTTACACGCAATTCATTTCTTGTTCCCTTATCGTTGCATTCTTTTCATCCATAATTTCTTACTGCACTAGCCATTCAGTAAATACTTCACTGTTGAAATTTTGCAGATAAGAGATAACTAGAAGGATTTTGCTGGAAAAAAAAACATCGAAACACCGATGAAAACTCCTGAATCATGAAAAGCCAGAGAATGAGGGAATGAACACTTGTGCAGGTGTTTTCGCATAGTACAAAAATATCCAAATAGTTGAAGAAGCTCACGCCATTCTGAAAACAAAGCATAACCACAGTGATGTTGAGAATTTGCTACATCCAGAGCTCTGGTCAGATTTGAACCCTGCTGGAGTTGTTGTGGAAATCACAATGTATAGCTTTTATTTACTGGTTATTATTTTTCTATTTCATTGTTTCAACTTAACTGAGTTCAATGCCGATTTGTGCTCTCCTGATTATTTGCGTTGAGGAGTGACTGCTGATGGCACCGTTCGGGTAAAAATTGGCATAGAAGAAGGCAAACCGAGGGCATCAGTAGTGCTGTGGGTATAACACATGAACCACTGGAAAAAGTGATCGTCTTAGTATTCCAATAACACACATCCTCTTTTATAATCCAATGCAAAGATTGATAGAAAGTCGATCCTGGGAACTATCTTAGCATTGTTAACTCT